GGCCTACGAACCGGTTGCAGGTACCGTCGAAAAAATAAATATGTTACCGGTGGGACTTACGTGGGATTATGAGAATAACGCTAATAACAATAATATAAACTTAAGGTTACCTCGTTACGATAAAATTTAATACCTTGTTCAGGTACTGGTTACGGACTATATATTCGTGTATCGTATTAGAAATTAATTATTAAACGTGTTTCGTTCGCGGACGTTTTCGACAGTTTCTAACGGTCTAGCGGCAGTCGGCATTGACTTACTCGTACGGGCTTGTCTTGTAAAATGGGTAGAAAAGGAAAAAAAAAAAGAAAAAATTTATAAAGATGAAAAAGGAGACGCTTCGGACTGTCGAGTTCTCACGGTGAGGATTCTTTGCCTCTCGGTTTGTCTCGCCGCCTATCTCGCTTACTTACACGTAGCTACGTAGAAACCCGCATTGGGAGTATTGTGCTGCGTGCGCAAAGCGCACGAACGTACTTTCCACGAGGCTGTACCCGAGTGTATTTTTATCAACGGAAGTTCGTTGCGGCCGTCGTCGTCGCGGCGCATTTCACATGGTCGTCACGTTGGTACGCAATGCGCGACATACGCGCGTTAGTGCGATCTTTGTACATTGGACAGGCGGGTGTCCGCGATGCGACGGATTCGTAGTGCGACTGCGCGGCGGGGGTATTTTGAGTGTGTTTAAAAAAGTATCCAGTGCGCATGCGCAGTAGGACCCTTCTCGATATCTCTTTTAAGCAGGCTGCCTTTAAGGGACGCCGGCTATTCAATTCTTAAGGGCCAGTACACACGTTGGCTACTGCTCGGTACTAGCTCCGTGTCTCTTTGCGAAGCCATGAATGCAGCTCAGTGCATAACCGGATCAGAAACCATGCAATCGTATCTACTTTTCTACTTACGCTTTATTTAAGGTGCTTCGGGGCACATGCGAGCGCAATGCCCGGCCGGGTACGACGCGTCGCTCGGTTATCCCGTGTATATACGTACTCGCCTTGAAGTTTCACCTCGATGACATTTAGGCGGTTCACGGGTATCTGATTTTTTATATTGACTTCCCTGGCTCGCTCTATGGTGTTTTATGGCCGACTTTCAACTCGACGACTTTATCTGGCCGTCTACCTATGTATAGGTGCACGTGCATCGGGACGTACTACATGGGCTGGCGCTGTCGGGACTCGCGGGTATCTGTGGCTGGTTACTTTTGTGCACCAGCCCACCGATCCCTGGTTAAATCGTGGGACTTTGCTGGGTTGCGAAATTCTTCTTTTTGGCCGCGCCGTTGTAATGGGACATTATTTGTGGGCTAATAACGTTAGAGACGTCCATGAGTCGCGGCTACTTAAGACCGGAATCCGATTACGGTCGCTTTCTAAAAAAAAATCGTTCTGTGGAAATAGGAGAAGCTAATCGACGGATATAGTAACAGTCCCGTATCGATTGATCGACTCGATCGACTGTTTAATCGGGATCGTTAATTAATCATAATTATGTGAAGTCTGGTTTAGCGGATCGAGGCAGTGTACAATATATAGATAAAAGGCTATATACACTTATGGTTCTGGTACACACGAGATTGAGTGCTGTGACGTAAGATTGGTTGATTAAAATTATAATAATCGATTTATATATCAATTTCACGGAGGCATTGTCGAATTAATTTTGTTTATACGCATTAGAACAATATCGTGATTAGTTTTATTATTTATCAGTAGATACGTATAGGTGAATTTGATATATAGCTATGCCGGGGTATATACTTTATACCTTATGGCTGGACGAACGTCCGGATAATTAATTATTGACCCGCTTTAATCGCATTAGTTCTAATTGGCAGGGAGCCGGGGCTGTCTCGAACTTGTTAATTGAATTGGTTAATTCGATGGAGGAATATGCAATTTTCTACTTTCTCTTGATTTCCCTGTGCTTTTTATTTTTATTATATATATATATATATATATATATGTATATATGTGTGTATACATATTAATTTTGTTCCTATTAAAAATTATAGTTTGTAACATTTTTTTCGTACGGGGTAAAAAAGTTTTGAAATATATTTTCCTCGAGTGTGATTTCCCTGTGCTTTTTATTTTTATTACGCTTTAATCGCATTAGTTCTAATTGGCAGGGAGCCGGGGCTGTCTCGAACTTGTTAATTGAATTGGTTAATTCGATGGAGGAATATGCAATTTTCTACTTTCTCTTGATTTCCCTGTGCTTTTTATTTTTATTATATATATATATATATATATATATGTATATATGTGTGTATACATATTAATTTTGTTCCTATTAAAAATTATAGTTTGTAACATTTTTTTCGTACGGGGTAAAAAAGTTTTGAAATATATTTTCCTCGAGTGTGTTTTCATGGGAAAAATCTTTGGTTGAGAGTCCAGACGTGTCTTCTTGGAAAGTTACACGGGCGATATACCGGCGAAGCTAGTCGATAATCTATAATCCCGGATTATCGGGGTGAATCGATAAACGAACCAGTTTTCTCTTGCCGGTCTTCACTACGTACCGAACGGTCTCGATTCTCTAATCGGTTTTGTGGAGCTATGAGAGGCAGCATGGCGGCTAGTTAGGGTGGTAGAATTATACATATATATGTATTCTGACGAAAAATCGAAACAGGGCAGAAACTACTGCAAAAAGTACCCGAGTGCAGCTAGCACGCTGTACAGCCGATTCTTCTTCGCTGTACAGACGCACCTTTACGTCACGTAAGGAAATCCGCAAAAGGATTCCAGAAGGGACGTACCAAGTGGAACCGACTAGAGCACAGACGAACGGACAAAAGTAGTGCCCTTCGAAGAACCAATAAGCTCCTCGGGAGGATTTACAATACTCGTATTACTGCGCCGCTAGAAAAGTCATGCCGTCTTCACTGTTCCTCAAATAATGACCTCGAAATAACACTAGAGTGACATCTGTGGCTCGATCGCCTTACCCGTGCGAGACGGATTCGCAAATATTTCGTAGATACCGGAGTCTTCCACCGATCGGCGATACGCGATACTCGGAGGTAAGCCTGTGAAAACGTTCAAACACGGACTGAAGATGACGTAACTTCCTTTAGCACGCTGGCCGCGCTGTCACTGCCGTAGCTCCGGGTGTCCAGTGGCCTCTGGTGGCGCTGAGGTTGCGGCCCTGTCCTCGACGATAGTGGCTGAGGTCCTGATGTCTTCGGTGGGTCTGGTAGGCTCTGCCTCCTCCGCTGGACCACTTACGGTGCCTCCACTCTGGGACACGCTGATCCTTCGGCACTATCGGTACCGGCGTTACGAAACGGGAGATAAGGTCAAGTCCATGCGCTGCTCCTTTCGGATGACCCCTCCTTACTCTTTTTCGGATGAGCTCGAAAATGGGCTGGAGTTGTCAGGTCGGCACGGCAACTCTACACGTTACCTGCCATAGGATCTTGCTGGTCCTCCTTTGGTGTGACGTCTTTTTGACGTGATCACTCGGTACCGATATCGTGGTCGTGACGTATGAATGATTTGCATTAGCCTATTGTCGAAAAATTGGACTTTGGAATTCCTGGCCGTGTACGGGCTAAGTTTCGGAAATGGGACGGAAATGCGTTTCGAAGTTGAAAAACGAAAGTTACCGTTTCGGGGACCTTTTCTCACGTATTTATATCGTCACAGTATATGTGTACACAAGTGCGATAAGAAAAATACGGAATGATTCAGTTAATTATAATTAATGGGACGCGAAGTCGCGCGACGTTTAGTAAATGTGTGTAAATTTTATTAAAAGTTCAATTTAAGGTAGTGACGTCACGAGGCTCATCTTAGAACAAGCGTGAAACAGGCTTAATGTGAATTCATCGAAAAAATCGTTAAATGCTATATCAAACTTTTAACGAAGTTCAGCTGACGTATGTCGATCGTGACGTGGGCAACGGGCTTAATGTTTTTCATTCGTAAATCATTGTCAACAAATTAATTACAGGTGATTTTTGATTTGTTCGATTTACGTGGGAGAAATTAGGGGTTGCGCTAATGACGTTAAACAATCATCCGGGAATCGCGTCTTCCAGACTTTCAGGATTTTTGCGAGCACGAGGGTTCCGAACCCCCCCCCCCC